TTATCTATGATGATTTGACTGAAAAAGTGGTGAAAAAGCATTTATTCTTTTGTTTCTTTTAAATTCAATTAGATGCTCTGTCCGTGAAAAAGAATAGAAAAAAGGAAAAAGAAAAAGCATAAATGGTTATTAATACAAAGTTAAATCACCACTAATTTTTTTTGCCTATGATTTTCAAACTAAACTGAACCCCACTTATTAATTGAAAAATGACTAAATTATTTGCATTTTCTTTTGCTATATGCTGACATACTTTGTCTTATCACTCGGGACATGTTTCTTTTTGTTCTATGACATTACACAAAACTATTTTTTTGCAGTCTAAGGATCCCCGATTTCATGCACTTCCCCTTGCATCTCAAAGGGTTGCAGCATTTGAAGACACAGTTAATGAACTTGTATATGATGTACTCATATCTAAAGTACGGCAACGCCTCAGTGATGTGTCCCGCTTGCCAATTTGGTCATCAGTTGAGGAACAAAGTGCTTTTGCTCTCCCTACCTTCAGTGCATATCCACAGTCCTATGTGACTAGTGTTGGTGAATATCTTCTTACTTTACCCCAACAGTTGGAGCCACTTGCTGAGGGAATCTCTAATAGTGAAACCAATGATGAAGCGCAGTTCTTTGCAACTGAATGGATGTTCAAGGTAACTCAATATATAAAGGAAGATCAGAAGTTAGGGAGAATCAATTTTCTGTTGTGTCTGATATAGTGTGAATCACGTGTCATTTTTTCCTGCAATTTGATCTGAATGCTTATGCATGAAACTAATGTTCTTGACACTACATCAACTTGGTTTCTGCCTAGATATACAAAGTCTGAGCTCAATGTTAGGCCTGCGTGATACTCAGCTATCATAGAAACGAAAACTTTATTTTTCTAACACAGCAGGAAAAATTATCCCAAAAATAAGGAAGATAGGACTAGGTGTTTTAGTTTCCCAACTTAGGTAGATGGAGATGATAAGTATGAGGTCATGCATGATAGATGGATTATTCAAAATTATTCTGTAATGTCCGTAGACCATGAATCTCTTTTCTGCATGTACATATGAAGTAAGGACTAATGACCCAAATTTTTTCTGTTGATTGTGTTAAATATTAGGTTGCAGAGGGCGCTACAGCACTTTACATAGAGCAGTTGCGTGGGATTCAGTACATTTCAGATCGTGGAGCGCAGCAGCTATCAGTTGATATTGAGTATCTTAGTAATGTGCTGTCCGCGCTGTCAATGCCAATCCCTCCAGTTCTGGCTACATTCCAAAGCTGTCTTTCTACTTCAAGAGACCAACTAAAAGATCTTTTGAAGACAGATTCAGCAAACCAACTTGATCTGCCAACAGCAAACCTTGTATGTAAAATGCGGCGAGTGAATTTAGATTCATGAATGTTCCTTACTAACTTCAAGCAATTGAGTTCTTCCACCCCTTCCCCCTTTCCGGTCATTGTTTTTTGCCTTGCAGAGGACATTCTTTTACATCGGCAATACCAACTTTCATTTTTTTTTTTTTTGGGTGAATATACATATTTGCATATTGATTTTGTAACTAGTTACAAAAGGCCCTCAATCTGCATAATAGTCATGGTATATCGGAGAAGACAAAGATTTAGTCTGTCTACATAATAATGTATATTATTGCTTTATTTCTTTCTTTTCCTTCTAACACGTATGTGTTTGAAGCTAATATACGAAGGTGCAGTTCACGGTTGAAAGTAATGCCCATGTCTCTTCCCTATTGTTATATTTTATTTGTAGATTTCTATTTTTGTTCAAATATATTGACAAACTTATTTTAATCTTAAAATATAAATATAATTCTGTTAGAGAAATTAAAATATTCAAACAATAAACGAGAAGCCTAGTCTTACAAGAATAATGAATATTTCAAGATCATAGAAAAGAAAAATAAGAATATTTCGAAGTAAAAGTTTTACAAAACTGCCTGTCTTTTTTGTTCGTGGGTGGAAATTTAAGTGTCTTCAAACAATGGTAACGATATTTCAGGATCATAGAAAAGAAAAATAAGAATCACATCCTATAAGAATAATTGGACAATGCTACTGTTCTATGTAAAGATGATGGATAAACCGAAGAATATGTGGAAACAAAATGAGTTCAAGAGGTGAAATGAGAAATATGAACAGTCAAATGTATTTTATTTTAGGTTAAAATAAATTTTTGGTCTTTATATTGATCACTCATTTTCAATTTTAGTCCTCATACAAAAATGTTCTGAGTATAGTCCGTATACATACAATCATTTTTAATTTCATCTATGTCATCTGTTGCCGCAGTTATGACAGTGAGGTTGTTATGTAGTTAATATGAAATTTTGAACCTAAACCTTAAATCTTAAAACGTACAAATATAATATTTAATTCTCATATATAACACTCATTTAAAATTGATAATAAAAGTATTTAAGAGGTATATTGAATTAAGATTTTAAAATATTATTTTGGGCTAATTTTTTTTGGAGCCGGTTATACTTATCACCTTTGTCATTTTTACTACCTAATTGATTATCGTTAGATCAATTTGAAATCAACGATAATTATTTTTTTTCCTTTTCAACCGTTGATTCCAAATTGATCAAACGATAACCAAATATGTAATAAGAGTGATAAATCTAAAATGGTGGTAAGTATAACCCTTTTCAAATTTTTTTTATAGATTTTAAAAGATTATTTAAAAATATAATGACTTTAAAGATTTTTTTAAAAATATTTTTCATTAATCAAAATTTTATCGAATTTGATTTTAAAAAGTGTATTATTAGAATTTATAAGATTTTTAAAAACGGTGAATCTAAATATATAGAAGGTCCATGTTTAAATGTAAATGCCCTTTAAATATGTGGGTCCAAACTCCAAACACCAACCCAAATAACCTATAGCAGTCATGAATTCTCTATTTGATTCTCTTTCTTACCCTTCACCACATTGTCAGCGAGCAATACTTCAATTTCAAGGAACAGTCACAGAGAATGTGTACAATCTTTTTCTTCTTCTTACCTGCTGTTATTATTATACAATGCAAGGAGCATAGCTGGTGTTTTTTGTAAATTGCCTTCACAAAAAGCAGTCACACTCGTATCTGGGTTTGAATTTATTATCTTCCAAGCTTTCACTAACCTTCCAAATGGCAAAAATTCATGTTATTTCCCTCTTCCTTTATTCACCTCTTGGAACCCAAATTCCTCTATTCCCACTCTCTCCATTCCGGACCCTATTATTCTCGTTGACGTTATATTTTATATATATATATATATATATATATATATATATATATATATATACTCTAATTATTTCTTTGAGACAAGTTGATTCTTCGGTATTCTCACAAAATTTAGCTCTTTAAGTCAGTTGTGAGATTATTAAAGCTTTTTGTCTCTCCTCAAAAAAATATTTGGTGGGAATCAAACTCAGATTTTCTCACCACTTACTCAGCATGTATTGCCAACTGAATTATATCCATTCGATGAAAATTTGTTATATGAGCATCATTAAATAGTTTAGTACTTTAATATCAATCCAATTACTAGATATTTCAATTTAAGTAATTTGATGAGCCCATTTACATTATGATAGATTAGACTTTTGATTGAATTCTTTAACAAGAGAATTCAATAGACACATGGTTTACTAGTATTATGAAGGCGGCTATTTTTTAAATATCTCATTATGCTCGATTTTTGTGTTATTTTTATTTTGATAAATTCTTATATATAATTCTCATTCTATTAATAAATAATTAAATATTATAAATTTTTTTAACATAGGTAGATGAACTTGTGCATTGTTCACTGTTAAACTGTTAAACCCCAATAAGCCATTGTTTGAGAGAACGTATTAAAAAATATAAAATCTTTATTGTGACATTCACTTGATAACTTAAATTTTTAGATTGAATTTATTGTTTTACATAATATTAGTTTACTAAGTACTTATACATTTATTCTTCACTATCCCATTCTATTAATTAATAATTAAGTTTATAAAATTTCTTAGCATAGCCGAGTGTACAACGCTCTTTACATAAAGTCTACTTTTGAAAATCATTCTACCCAAGAAAAACCCCACCATCACTCGGTGAAGATAGAATTTGGCGCTCCCGGCCCACAAGATATTGGGTGAAGGGTAGGAGAGAGTGAAAGAGAGATTGAGAAGAGAGAGGAAGAAGGGAGAAAAAAAATTCCGTGTGTCACTCCCTTAATGGGAGGACCACCATGATACAGGATCATATTAAAAATTTCTCACTCTGGGTGATTGACATCAAATCCCCCTTTCAAAACTTTCTTACACGTGGCTTTAGACTTTAGAGAAAACCCGACTTTCCCTTTTCTTCACGGTTTCTTCTTCGACAATTTCCTCAAAAAAGCTCATTTGTATTCCTATTCTTACCAAGAAGATTCCAGCATCCCATTGGCGATGAATGTCCTGGCTTCACTGATTGAGAGGAGAATGGCCAGAACAGATAGAATTGGACTGAAGTTACATAAGATTTAATAAAAATTTAGAAACTGATGCTGATCTCTCCAGGAAATCTAAAACTAATATCTGCTTGTTGAATTGTTAATTTCTTTTTAATCCGCATAATACTTCTTTCTTTTCTATTCGGCAAAACGTAGAATCTTGATTGAGAAATTATAGAATTTTCGTCAATTTTTTATATAAATATTTGATGAGTAATGGACTTTGAAAAATCATTATACGTTCCGTACAAACTCTTGTATTTGCAGAGTCATCAACGTAAAAGCATTACTTATTCGAATTACATTGACTCCTTATATTTGTTGTAAGGTAATTCCATAACGAATATTCTTATGCTTTTCATTTTCACAAATTTATGCGTTGTTAAACTATTCACATAATACTCTAAAAAATACCAGCTTAAACTTAAACACGAGGAAGTGTCTTGAAAAGAGCAAGAAAATGAAATCACGCATAGCTGGGTCATTGCTATGAAATCGCTCATTTTATTTGTATGAATCTTTACAATCATTAATTCACCACTCAAAGTTTATAAAGGAGCTGACTGCCAATCGAATAATAAAAAAGCACATCATTTTCAACAGATACCAAACGAGGACATATGCGTTCCTGAACACCAAATTAGATATGAGAGCCAATTACCTCCAATCACCCAGACAATAACATGCAGGATGTTTGTTTGTTTACAAAAGGAGGTATCCTGCATCATAGTTCACTGATAGTTTTGCATGCAAATGGCAATATTTCTGCCATAGAATCATTCAGCAAAGACAGCCAAATACCTGTATTTGCCAGTCCTTTGAATTTTCAATTCAAACAGCTCTCTGCAAATCAAGTATTATTTTTATATAGGATGTAATTCACCATTCCAAATCAGTTCCTAATAGGTCAAAGTAACTGCTTATGAGTGGACTACATCCACTTATCTTTGCCCCAACAGGAACCCATATCTGGAATGACATGAGGCTAGGGAATAAAGAATTAGATCTCCGTTCAGTATATCATCATATCGGATGATATCATACACCAAATATATTATAAATACGATGCCATGGATTTGGCAGATAACAAACAACAGATTCAGTAAGTTTACCTACATCTTCTAAACTGGTGCCTTCGGAATGTAGTTCAATGACAAATGCATGTCAGAATAAGCAGCATTTTTAAAACCTGTGCTGGCTTATATCAACTTTAGAAACAAAAGTAATGGAACGAAAAATAAAAGAGGCAAAAAACAAGCATTTCTATGGTGAACAAATATCAATCTATTTGCCTCAGAGTAGAAGATTCACATTTTACCTCAAAACAAGAGAAAACCATCCCCCTCTGCAGCAATGACAATCATGCATGTAATTTTGTGTCGGACATCTTAAATCAATCAAATGATTTCCAGAAAATACGAGTAAAGAAAGACTACACACAATGTTTCAGAGATGAATCATTATAAATAACTTAAATCAAGGTGCAAAACAAATTGTAAGAAAAATTACAACAGTGAAATACCTACCTCAACACTTTTCTCCATTAATAATATTTGATGAAAGGGAGATTGTATAGTCTCAACAAAGCTCTGAGATGGGAAAAAAATAAATTCACCCTTGATGATGAGCAAAACTCAAGACTCCAAAAGAACATATTTATGCAAGTCTTGGGATATTAAGGTCTACCTCTTTTAAATTCAAATTCTGACATCTATCAAGAAATTCCACTAATTTGAGCAAATTGAACTTCAAGAAGGCCTTCTGTAGTTATGCCTAACAGGAGAGCGTGACCTGCTCCGATCACGGTACCTGTCTCTGCCTCCATTTCTTCCATTCCTCAACCTAGAATCCATCCCCCTTCCCCCATCTCGATTACCTCTTACATCCTGCTCCCGAGATCTTTCACGACCTGAGTCCCTATCTCTGTATCTGTCCCGCTCCCTATCTCGATCTTTATCATGATGCCTCTCCCTATCACTTGAATCACTTCGTCTCTTACTCTCATGCTCCTTCTCCCTTCGTTTCCTTCGCTCTTCTGCCTCTCTTTCCCGAGCTAATCTTTCTTCTTCAGTAGCCTTCTCCTTAGCATCCTGAAACATGATTACCAACTTATATCAGAAAGATTTTATATATTTTAATGTGTAAATTAGTTCAGGACAACAAAACTCACCTTGTACTCATTTATGAAGTCACGAACCATGCCATAACCAACATGCTGCTTCCCAGTGACATGAGACTGAGTCCTTTCTGCAGCATCATTTGCTACAAGGAAAGAACCACATATCTCACAGAGTGCCATCTTCTTCTCCTGAGCAAGCATCAACACCTTATCATTTTGAGTTTGTGTTAAGATTGTCTTTTCCGCATTAAGTGTCTCCACCTGTATGAGAAAGTCCCAGAGAAAAAAGAAAATTAATTCACGTGAATCTCAAACTGAAGGTTGTTCAGATCTGCCAAAAGCAAATCTTTATAAGTTCATTTATGAGATTGGGGTCACAGAAACTTAATAAATGACCAATAGCAAATGCAAGGGAAGAAAGTTATTGCATCATCTTCAGCACCTTTCTCATAAGAGCTTCAGCTTCATCAACCTTCCCAGCTTCACCAAGAGATTCAACTTGTTCCAGAAGGTTCTTTATTTTCTCCTCCAGCACAGATAGCTGTTCAGATTTTTCAGCTGTCAGAGGTGGCGGCGGCGCTGGCTCCACCTCTTGAGCAAGGCGTTCTCGCCCACGTCTTACTCTTCTATCCAAGTCCATCACCTGTGATTATTACCAGAGAATATGAAGAATGATTAATCAACATACAAAGAAGACTACATTCCTTTGAGTAGTGGGAGGGGATGGCAACAGTAGGTGACTTACCAATTTCTCACAAAACTGAGCAAGTTCGGCTTCAAATTTGGGTACAAATGCATCATGTCTTGGGGATTTCTCAAAGCTGAAGTCAACAACGAAGTAAAACTGTTTAATCTAAAACTTAACTATACAATTATGAAATTATAAAAAACAATGTACTAAGACTTGTGGTTTAATCTATCCGCATATCTTGTTATCAGCGAAGTAAAATTTACACAGGATAGTAAACAAGTGCGGGGAAGCAACTTAAGGTACATCTACATTGACCCATAGGCATATTTTGTCATCAAACGTACATATATGACAAAGTCAAATCTGCAAAGGACAGTAAAATAGTGAAGGAAAGCAACATCAGTAAGGTACATCTATATTGAACAAATGAACACAGCACCAATTCAACCAGGAATCACGAAACTTGTATTCAATATTGTAAAATCAACTGAAACAGGTAAATAATATTACTAGGGTCCAAGGTTATCAATAGTGTCGCTATGGATCGTATGCACTCTTGCAACAGATGTGGGTAGCAGCAGCCAGTCACTAATATTTCCGCTACACGACGCTACAATTTGCAGTTGCAGCGACAATCACAACGCCATGGTGAATAAGGGAAAATCCCATATTTGCCTGTGTAATTGGTGTCCCAACATTCATATTAAGGGGGTATAATCACTTTTAACCCCTTTTTTTATGTTGGAACCCTATCGACTGGAATCCTGGTTCTCTCTCAACTCAGTATCTACTCCTACCTTTCTCCACTCAGTTGCGACTCATTTTACAGCACACCCATCAACTTCCGTCGGTTTTCCGGAAACTCACTCCTCTCTTGGACTCTGTTTTGTCTCGAACCCACTTTCTCCTGTTTGCGAGTATTTTCTCTACTAATCAGTTTGTATTTTCTCCTATGTTTGGCACTATTATAGCTAAATTCTCCTTGAAATTCGTCAATCCTTGTTTGGAATGAAAGTGACAAATTGACAATAGAATTAATTATGAATGAATGTCTTTAATTTTGGATTTTTATTTTTTATTTTTGAGCATTTATATATAATTTATTTAGTATAGCATTTATGACGAGTTCCCGGTAGCAGCTACAACGCTGCCTGCTATACCACTATACTGTTTTTGGGGTTAGCTGCTATACCACTATACTGTTTTTGGGGTTAGCTGCTACGCGCCACTACCCACAATTGATAAATATTCTGGATTCTATATAGTGAAATAAAAGAGTAACACAACACTAAAGGTAACAAAATCACATAAATAGAAAACTAAAACTAACGGCATTTTTGTTATAGAAGCACGTGGGAAACCTCTGTCTAAAATTAAATAAAATTACATCTTCATGCAAACATGTTTAACAATCAGACGCGCATCAGTTTTGTCACTGTTTTATTCAGGAAGAATTGAGGCAAGATTAAAGAAGATCCACACAGCCCACCATTAGAAATCTCAAACTGTTCATTGACAAAACCTAAATTAAATATGAATAAATTTACTTGTTCACCTTTCTTTCAGCTTTGGGTCATGTATTCTCGGGCAAGGTCCTGCATCAATTTAACGCACATTGAACATAAAAATAAAAAATAAAAAAAATCAAAACCTGCAACGCTCTAGCCACAGCTATCAATCACAGTTAAGAAGATCATATGGTTGCTAAGGAAATTCAACAAATGTATCATAGAACCTTCCTCTGCAAATTTCTTATGAATTTATTAACTAACCTCAGTTAAAGCTCACGAAGAACATATAAAAACAATACACTGTAAAATGAAGTCATTACTTCGTTACCTTTTTAATTACCACAGTGCAACAACCTAATACAGGAAGTAACACATTATATTTGAATTGACACGAAAGAGAATCCAAATTTCATGATCTGTTATAGAATTGATTAATTGAGAAAGCAATTGCAATTAGAATGAAACGCACCCAGATCACTGCGAGTGTTGACGAAGAGATCGTGAGGGCAAAACCGCACCATGTAGAATCCACACACTTCCTTATCGTCCCAAGAGACTTCCTTGAACCCCTTTCTCTCTTCCTCCGTCATGTTGCGAGCTAAATTCACCACAGTAAGAAAAGCACAACAAATTCATCAACTTTGAAGTAGTAGATTTCAAAACAAAAATAATAATAATAAATAAAAAAATAAAAAAATCTTTCAGTTTACAAAACGAAAACAACTAACAGTTTGGAATCTCAAAGTGAAAAAAGCACCTGAACCCATGAGTTCGTCAAGCAGAGCTCTCTGAGCATCCATTGCTACGAGATGAGAGTGGGAAGTTGGTGATGAAATGCAAAGATGGATAGGGAAACCCTAATTCCTCTCGAATTTGATGAAATTCCAAAAAATGGAAACAGTGGATGAGTAGAGAAGGATGAGGAATTTTGTGTTCTAGGGTTTGTCGAGGGAACGGAGCGGTTACGTGAAGACAAGCAAAGTGAACAATACCAGTGGCTTACCAGTTACTTTTGTTTCTTCTTCTAATTTAATGTTAAAATTTGACATTAAAAAACTATTTTTATGTATTTTATTTTAAATGATTAAATTAATAATAATTACTTTTAATTAATCAATATAAATATGAAAAAAATATTTCTGCAGTTAATGCAGATAAGTTATCTGCATTTATTTTCAAAACAACGTCGTTTTGGTATTGAAATCTTAAAAAATTATAAATACAAATACTATTATAACCCTGAAATAAATTAAAATTACAAAAACACTATGATTTCCGTCCCAAAACGACGTCGTATTGGCCTTATTGCAGATAACTTATCTGCAGTAACTACTCCAGAAAAAGCGAACCCTATTAATATTTACTCGATATTAACAATCCAACATTTATAATAACTATCGGATGTTTATACAATGGGAAATATTTTTTATTTTATTTTTTGTAATAAAGAGGGGCAAAAGCCCCAAACAAAACAAAAATTACACGACGCGAGAACTTAAAAGATCTACAAAAGCATCCTGAAGAAGGAGCTCTAACAAAGGAGAAGGAGGAGAATGATAAACAATAAGATTATTATCATCCTCAAAATGCCTAGAAGCAAACCAGTGAGCACATCTGTTATTTTCTCGAAAGGTGTGGACCCAACGAACATCCCAATCTTCAGCAAGCCATTTGTGAATACGGGAAACAACCTGAGAGTTTCTGTGATTGTTGCTCCCTTCTTGGATAGTGCTAAGAGCAATTTCTGAGTCACGTTCCAACTCCACTCTCCTAGCACCAGTACCCCAGGCCAACTCTAAACCTTTGAGGATACCAGAGTTCTGCATCAAGAGGATTACAGAAACCTAATCTGAAAGAGAAACCACCCAGAAAAGCACCATTGTGATCTCTAGCAAGGCCTCCACAGCTAGCATGCTGCCTAGATAGGGAAGAAGCACCATCTGTGTTAATCTTCAACCGACCAGGTTCAGGACGACACCATTTAGTAGGCTGATGGGCATTAGGGAAGCTGCCAAGAATGCTTCTATTCTTACCTCTAGCTTCAATTAAATGCGCAATAAAATCAGAAATGACACGCTTATCATTGCTTGGCCTTCGAAAACTATCATCATGAATATGATGATTACGCCAATTCCAAAGATTCCAGCAAGTAGTATAGAAAACATCTCTCCAATCAACATGAATTTGATAATTCCAACCCTTACTCACATTTTTTATGAGCCAAGGCTGTAGGTCTAATGTGAAGAAATCGTTGGGGACCCTTCTACCAAACCAATCTATCCACAATCTTTTGGCTTGAGAACAATCTCTAAGGACATGAATAAGAGTTTCTTCACTGTTTGGACAGTTAATGCAAAAATTAGGACCCTCATTACATTTGCATGTACGACTCCTAACTGGAAGCTTATTAAGAAAAGCCAGCCACATCATAGTCTTGATTCTTTCTGGACCCTTCCAATCCCAAATCTTCTTCCAGGGAACATTCCTTTGAGCATGTTGAAAATTCATCAAGTCCAAGTAGACAACCTTAACTAAGGAAGATGACACATGATTCTGACACCAAACTAACATATCCTCAGTGTTATCTTCCAAAGCAACAGGAACGCAAAATACCTTAGAGATTAGCTCATCATTTAAGAATTGCTTCAAATATCGAACATCCCAGGTACCATGCTGAAAGATCTCAGCAATGGTTCTATGCAATTCCAGATCAGGAATATGATTAGGAGCTAAATTACAAAGATTATCATCCAGATTCAACCAATTATCCGCCCAGAATTTAATAGTCTCTCCATCACCCACCTCCCATCGAAGACCGGCTAAAAAACTGTTCCAACATTTAGAAAGGTCTCGCCAAAGTTTAGAATCATAAGGCTTAGAGCTTATCTCACGCCTCAAATCTTTACCTCTGCCATACTTGGCTCTCAAAATCTTAACCCAAAGTTCCTCCTTGTCAGTTAAGATTTTCCAGGCCAACTTATGAATATAAGCCTCATTTTGAGTACGCAATCTGATAATACCAAGACCTCCCATTTCCTTCGGCTTATACATTGTGTCCCAAGCCACTAAATGAGATTTATTAACACCCCAAATGAAGTTCCGTTGAAGCTGTTCAATCTCATCACACACAGAAGTGGGGAGAAGGCCATTCTGCATATGAAAAGAGGGAATAACATCAATCACTGATTTAACCAGAGTGACTCTCCCCGCAAAAGATAAACTTTGATGCTTCCAGCCATCAAGTTTCTTACAATGGGAAATATTAGTTTCATGTTACATGAGAGTAGTTTTCTCATGCTACATAGATAATTCAAGTGGGACCCACCATTAAAAAGAAAAAAAAAGGGTGCAATTTTCGAAGTGAGAAAAAATAAGATAACTATTTTATGTAAAATGAGAATAGTATTTCCTTTATATCATCGGTTTATATTTGACAGATTAGGATTAAAATTTTATAAAAAATAAAATACGAAAGAATAATGTTATATAATACAGAGGATAAGATATTGTTACTACCAAATAAGATTATTATCAATGTTACTACTATATCCTTAATCGTTGATTTTCGTCAATCAACAATTATTATTTGGGGTAGAATATTGTAACAACCAATTAGTGACAAATCAATTTCACCGTTAGATCGATTATGTGGATCCAACCGTTATATTTATTTTCATCTTTGTATTTCGCATTAAATATGAGAAATTATAACTATACAAAGGTAAAAAATTCTAGCATTTTCCCAAATTTTTGAAATATACCCGGATATCCCCTCCTTACTCGGGTAGGGTAAAATTTTAAAAAAATACTCGAGTAAAGAGGGTGATACCCGGGTAGGCTTGATGATCAACGGTCAAACAAAGACAGATTAATGTTATGCTTTTTGAAAAGATTAAATTTTTAAAATTATTTATAATCAAAGTTCATTCAATAATTAATTATTAAATAAGAGTCTATGTAGTCAAAAAAAAAGTCAAAGTGTATTCTTTAAAACATTTGGATTAGAGCCTACAGGTGATGGCCGAATGACTGAACGAGTATGGGTTGGTTTTGCCTTTCGGGAGTAATGGGTTGGGCTTTGACACGTGGATAATCCAGTAAAAGGATTTTAACTTTTTATATTGTTTTTAATCAATATTTAAGTTTTTTAATCAACATTAAGCAGAATAAGATATTTGTAAATCATCCTTAAAATATTTTTTCAATCAATTAAACCACTTTTTGAAATTTTTTAAAACTAACAGTTTAAAACATATATATTGTTTTTACTAATAAAAGAAAAAATATTTATCATTATAAAAGATTCGAGTTTATGTTATTTTTAAATATTGAATTATTGTGTTTTGGTGCATATATAGTAATTTTTTATATTATCTCTTATCCACAAAATTAGAATGAGAGAGAAAATATGAGTATTTTGAGAGAAAAAAGGTAAAAAAAAATATCAAAATATAATAGTTTTACTTAAAATGATACAAACTTATATCATTTAAAATGTCAAATATTGTTTCCAATAATAAAATAGTCTTTTATCAATTAAATTAACCTTCTTTTCAATATTTTTATTTATATTTTGTATATTTCATATGTATTTAAAGATATCCGTGCAAACTTGCTATTCTCTACAAAAAAAAAAAAAAAAAAATTTATCCCGGCGAACTTTACATGTAATGCTTCTTGGATGTGATTAATCTTGTACCTGACACATTGGGATTTTCCATTTAAAATAAAAAACAAAATAAGGCTTTTTATTTTTGCAAACAAATAGGGTGATGACTTTATACTGATCCGGAGCTTGTCCTCTGAAATCTGGATGATTTGTAATGAAACATTTCACATCTTCGTTACTCTAAGGTCCGTTTGGATGGACTTTTTTTCTCTCCAGAAGTTGTTTTTTTTTTGTGTGAAAAAAAGCACTTTTCATTTTTAGTTCGTTTGGATGTCTGCTTTTAAAAAAAGTAGAAGTCACAAAAAAAGTCAAAAACTTACTTTTTTCTGAAGCTAAAAATTTTAACTTTTAAAAAAAGCAGAAGTCAAAAGTCAAATAATTTTTTCAAAATCTAAATATTTTTATAAAAGTATAAATAGTTTTAACTTTTGTAAAAATGACTTCTAAAATAAGAAAGAGATAAAAATTACTTTTTCTAAAAGTGCAAACAAACGGGCTAATCCATAGCCCAACCTCCAGAAAAAAGGGATTTTTCTTTTGTTTTTTTATCCCTTACAAAAGAAATGTGGTTGAATTGAATTCATAATCCTTATAATTTCACATGATCTAGATTTTGTTTCTTATAGTTTTTTTATGCTGATCACTATGACACTATATTTTTTTTTCATTTGGAATTTGATTCTTATTATTAAAATATTAATTCTTATATTTTTTTACTCATTTATTTTTTAGTTCTTATAATTTATATTCATTAAGTTAATAAATTTTATTTTTCATAAAATATAGTTCTTATAGTTTTTTATCATTAAGATATTGATTCATTAAAGACCAATATCTAAAAAAAAAATCACGAGAACCAAATATAGGGACAAATATTTATTTTAACCAATAAATAATTTTTTTTATTTCCTCTTTATATATACATATTATATCACAATTTCAGTAAAAGGGTGGACTTTTATTTCAAATATTTCCATCATATAAGGTGTAGAAATTCAACATTCATTTGAACTCGAGCATCTTATGCCCAATTTTCCATAAAAGCTTAGTTAGAAAAGGGAGAAATATTACAATAATTCCGATTTTAGGGACAAAAATTCTCATCAACCAGAGCTTATTATACTAGTTAGGCTCACAGGCTACAAAATTAGAAGCCCATATTCCATTATAAACCAAATTAAAGCCTAACCGTTGGAAATGGAAATACATTATCTTTTCTGAATACTAGCAAATGATCAGCCGCAAGACCCTTTATCTTTGCAGCAGGAAATGATCAATCCTAGATCTACACGCAGCTTGATGCATAAAAAAACAAAACCATGTATGTGTCTTAAATATGCACAAAATTCCAATTACATATAAAAATAAAATAAAAAAATGAATGGTGATATGAAGTAAAACAAAGTCTAACCACAAACTTCTCTTATCCAAAAACAAGCTTCTGTGACTCTAGTTTAACATTTCTAAATATTGTCTGGTTTGAACAAAACACAATGAGCTAGCTAAGACCATCATCTACTTCATGATCAAAAGATTCAAAACCACAGCCACATTTCTCCACCATTCCATTCCCTACAAGCATGAATGACACAGTAGACAAATTGGTAATCTTTCTAGCAAAGAGAGATGGTATTGACAAGCTTGTTAAGACCTTCCAATATGTCTCCAAGCTTGTAAACTGGCATGTAGAAGCCACTCACCCAAACATGGCAAAGAGGTTCAAGCAATGGGAAGTGGCCTCAGGACTTAGCAGAAAAGCCTTCAGAACTGGTAGGTTTCTTACTGGTTTCAATGTTCTAAGGAGAAATCCTGGTTCTACACATACTTTAAGGCTACTTGCAGTGCTTGCTAATGCAGGGGAAATGGTCTATTTCTTCTTTGACCATTTTCTTTGGTTGTCAAGAATTGGTACCATAGATGCAAACTTAGCAAGGAGGATGAGCTTCATATCCGCATTTGGTGAGTCTGTGGGCTATGTTTTCTTCATAATAACTGATTTCATTATGTTGAAAGAAGGGTTAAAGGCAGAGAGAAAGCTGAAAAGTTCAAAGGAAAAATCAGTGGAAGAAGAGAAAGGGATTCAGAAGATTAAAGCTGAGAGAATAATGAGGCTAATGGCAGTGGCAGCTAATGTTGCAGATTTGATTATAGCACTGGCAGATATTGAGCCAAACCCTTTCTGTAACCACACAGTTTCTCTTGGCATTAGTGGCTTGGTTTCTGCTTGGTCTGGTTGGTATAGAAATTGGCCCTCATAAACCAAATTTGATGAGCACATTGTAATTTTTACTTATGTTTCCTTGCCTTGCTTATAAAATCTTACGTTTTCTTTTCTTTTCTTTTAATCATCTTCAAATTCAATTACAAGCGTATGCATAAGATGACATTGTTATATAGTAGCAATAAGGAAAAAACGCAGACCATTTACTTAATTACAATTCATGGACGTAAAAAGATGCAAAGGAAACTACACACTCGGAAGTGGTTTGGGATGCAAACGGATAATCACCGTTTTATTGATTTGCCTCTTGACACGCTACAGATCTCGTGCAGAATCTCTCCATATACGATTCTTCTTCATGAACTGCTCTTCTCAACGCTATAGCACGAACAAACTCCTTGAGTGGACTGGTAGATCTTTTGTGGTCAGTGACAGATCTTCCAGACCATCTCAAGGAAAAGTGTGTGGGCATTTTCGGTTATGAGCTTCACTAAGAGGCTAATGACTTAAAAGGGTGTTTGGTAGGTGGTTTTGTTGTGGGATTGATAGGTAAATGAGAGTGAGTATTTAATTACACAATGTTTGGTAGAAGTTTAGGAAAGAAAGTACTAGGAAACCGTTTTCCCATGCAATTCAGATTTGTGTGTCAAATGATGCAAAAATCACTATTTGAAAATACTACCTAAGAGGTGGTATTTGCATATGACAAGGCAAGTGGAAAAATGTGCGCGATAGTAAGATGGAAATGCCCCTTATTCTCGTGTAAAAATTTAGCACAAAATCAAGTTTTACAAATCATATATCATTTGAATTTGGGCTACCTAGAGATGTAACTTTGGTTTTCCTTTTTCAAAACATAAAGCGTGTCAGTGTGCAAAACAACAATTTATATTGGTGAGTATGATTCATATATCTTTACCCCAAAAGAAAGAAAAAGTCAAATATGAGCAGTACCGTGTGTGGAGTTGGATAAAGATAAAGATTCAAAAAAAGGGTTATTTTCGTATTTTCAACTCATTTTTCTATCAATATTTTACTTTCAACTAAATATAGACTCAATAATCTTAATCCAATTTTTCCCGTAATATTTTGGTTTACCAAACAACTTTTTTTTTTTAACTTTTCTACCAAATTTATTTTTCTACCATATTCTTAGTAATTGTGTTTTCCTGATAAAAAATTTTGTTCTCCTCTATCAAACACCCCTAAGTAGTATTTATAAGAATTTTAAAAAATCTATCCTAGCTCTAAACTCATTAAGCTCTAGATTTCTTGTACTGTTATCATATATAGCACAAACCCAGCACTAATCACTAACAGTTATATAAAAAGAACATTCCAAGCTTATAAAAAAGAAAAGAAAAGAAAAGAAAAGAAAAGGAAGAAGCAGGACTTTTTGACTCTTTTGCCCTTCATTAATTAATTAATAATCATTTTATCTTTTATTGAAAACTATCTACTAATTTGTCAGTTTTGTCCATTTAATCGATCAAATATTCAAGTTAATCGATTAAAGAAAGACAGATTGATAGATAATTCTCAATAAAAAATAAAAATTATTAATTAATTAATAAGAAATAAAAGGGTCAAAAAGTAAAGAAGCAGCGGTAAACCAAATTCTAGTTCTAATTGCTGGAATTGGTTCAATAGCGTTGCGCCGCCGGAGGCCATACGCCACACAACCTATTAAAAAATAATAACAATAATCAATTAATATTAATTTTGTTGATAAATTTTGTTAAGTTTTAATAAAAATATTAACTTTTCATTACATAAGACGTATAAACATTCAGATTAAAAATATTAATATAATAAATGCTGAACATTTAACAATTCATCAGTTTACTAGAAAAAAACAGTAATTTTTTTTCAACTAAATATATTGTGCGAAACCAATCATGAAGTTTTGTCAATCATAGTTACCGCAACGTAACTGCAATTTTCAGATGAGATTTGTACGGATTTTATAATAAAAACTTTTTAAATAAGATATAAGAAAATTATCTTTTAAATGACACAACTTATATATATATTTTTTTGGTAAGTTTAACTTATATCTTTTCACTCTCACAAAGAGATAGGACACACACCTTTATTTATTTTTTCAACTCTCTCCTCATTTATTTATCTCTTTCTCTCTATTAAAGTTTCTTAAAATGACACAACTTTTTTTTTTTTTTTTTGATATCAAAATGACACAACTTTACATCCTTTAAAATAACACACACTTTTCTCATAAAACATAGTTATTTTATTCCCCTTAATTATAGATTTGTATTAGTTAATCCCCTTAAAAAAATTTATTTATTAAATCCCCTAAAAACATGGTCATGTAAATACACTGTTAGGCATGTCACCTCCTATTAAATACAAAACACAATCAGCTCCTAATAAATACAAAACACAATCAGCTCTTATTAATTACAAATCGCAATCAACTCCTATTACATTGAATTCAAAATTCAAAATTCAAATAACATCCAATACACGAAAAACTGATTGAAGATTCTGCTAAGTATTACATTAAATTCACGATTCGCAATCAGCTTCTATTAAATATAAAACGCAATCAGCTCCTATTAATTACAAATTGCAATCAACTCCTATTACATTAAATTCAAAATTCAAAATTCAAATAACATTCAATACACGAAAAACTGATTGAAGATTCTGCTAAGTATTACATTAAATTCAAGATTCGCAATCAACTCCTTTTGTTTATAGAGGAGATTTGACATTTGTTGCCTGTTGCGATTTGATAGGAGCTGATTGCGTTTTGTATTTAATAAGAGCTAATTGTGTTTTGTATTTAATAATATGAGTTGATTGTGTTTTGTATTTAATAAGAGCTGATTGTGTTTTATTAAGAGTTGTCATTTTACGAGTTGGTACCAATGCTTTCACGCTCATTTGAGATATTTAACCGATTAAATATAAGTTTTAATCGATTAAATAAATTAAGAGGGAGATTTAATCGATTAACTTGAAGATTTAATCGATTAAATCTTCAAGTTAATCGATTAAAGAGGGACAGATTGATAGATAGTTCTGAGTAAGAGACAAAATGATTATTAATTAATTAATAAGGGGCAAAAGGGTCAAAAAGCCTCTCAAACTGGCCTAGTATATTAATTTTTATTTTATATTTTTTATACTACTTGTAATAGCTTTTTCTCTCTCCTCAATCCATTTTATTCGTTAAACAAATATTTTGAATGATTTTGTTCTATATTATATTGTTTGGATATACATTGAATTTATGAATATTTATTAAAATACTAGTGCTGTTGATTGTATATTATGTTTGGATAAATTTTTATTGTCTTATTTTTTTAACAGGCTAAACCAGACTTTTATTATTTGTAAATAAACCAAGACATAGGTCGATAATTATATTCATGATTGACAGATAACAGATTTGGTCAGACTGACATATTTAAACACGGGCTTAGCCTTTTGAAATCAAAGTTCAGCTCGGCTCTGCCCATTAACACTCTGAGTTTGGTAGTGGAAATGGTTGAAGAGAAATTTTTTGAATACTAGGAAAATGTAATTGATAGGGAAATGGTTGGAAAGTGAGTTTGGTAGAAAAATGTAAAAAAAGTTGTTTGGTTAGAAAAAATTTTACCGGGCAAATTAGGTAAGATTTATAAAGTCTATGTTTGGTTGATGATAGAATATTGATGGGAAAAAGGATTGAAATGACGAAAATAACCCTTTATTAAAATATTAACATCTGACTTTATTAAATTCTTCTCTCCATTCTCCTTCAAAACTCTCTCATTGCTCATCAAATAAACTCCTTCCACCTCCAGAGTTACACTGTTGTTCTTGTCACGTCCAATATTTTTTAGCAGGTCCAACCAGTTAACTTACATTCAGCAGAGTTACAAGAGGTTAATTTTGGAAGCTATTATGTCAAAAAAAAATTATTTATCTAGACATCATGAAATACCACTTTGAAAGTGGGATCTGAGCACCATCCATTTTGACCAATTTTACACACAATCTTCAATGGCTGGGGAAATAGGTTAGCTAGGAAAAAAATTTGATATCCTCTGCCAAACATAGATAACACAAAATTCCATTATCAGATACCTAGCTATATTCCAAGAAACCTCCTACCAAACACAACCTCGTGCAAAAGTATAGTATTTTTGTGTGGGAATTTTCTAAAATGGTCCCAAACCAAATTAAACATCCATTGTCCCTCTCACAGACAATTCTCATTTTATCCCAGCTTTTTTTAACAAAATTCCCATTTTCCCCCTATATAACACAAGGTCCACATGTTCCTGGACCATGGAATAACTGCCCTGTTGTGGTATCTTTGACTTATTTTATTTTTCTTGCCTTAATAATTTGGATTTGGGTTTATAAATACCTATTATTTTTTAGGGTTTTCAATCCTATTTATATTGTAATTCTATTTGAGTTACTTGTAACAACACTCACGAGAATACAGTGTAATATTGCTGCAGATAGCGGGAACAAGGTAAATCGATGCGTCCTTTTTTCTCACTTTCTCTCTTAGTTTGCGATGGTGTGCGTGTAATTGGTTTGCGGTTCCAACAAATACATGATGGCACTACTTGCTTTTTCAACTTGCCCTTCTTATGTAGAAATTATTTTTATTGTTTTACGTCAATCCGTAGTCAATTGTTGTATAATTGCATTGTCACCCCCCCACAACAATGACATCAATCTAAGCGGTTCGAAGTTGGAATTCAAGTTGAAAAAAGTTACATTTTTTTGTGTGTGGGAAATCACCAAATTAGATGATGAATAAAACATAAGCACAACATGAGCAGTGTCCAAACGTTGGTTTTTTCTTTTCTTTTAGTTTTCTCACTTTGCTTCCTGAATTTCCGAAATCAACAACAAAAACATCGTAGGTTGCCCGCAATCCTTTAGATCTTGTCTGTATTCTTTTCTATTAACTTTTTTTTTTTTTGGTTTCAGTTTCTCACAATCCAAAGAGAATAATTTTTCTGTGAATCATTTGTTGATAAACGTGGAATCTTTTAGATGGAAGAAATGAATCAATCGCGTTATGTGAAGCTGACTGAAGATCAAGCCCCTCTGGAAGATATTATCCCTGGTGAACTCAATCAGCCAA